TGTTGTATGTATATTTAAGAATTATTTGCATAATAATTTTAGTTTAGCTAAATTTATGTTTTTCGTTGCTAAAATTATTATATGTAAAATGTAAAGACTTGTCTGATTGTTACAATAGACACACTTACTTAAGATTTCTTGATGTAGAAGTGAAATTTTTCTATTGACCATCAATTCAGTAATAACATCCTAAGTTAAACTTAATATTACTAACGTTTGACTATTCACTAACTAAACAATAGTGTTTGATCTAAAATATCCAACATGTTATTAATTTCTTGTTCTATAATATTGAGAGTATCATTCCCATTATACCATTTTTATATACAAAAAAACATTATATAAATTTTTATATTAATAATATATACAAATTTTTTTATTAATTTCTTAATTAATGTTACCTTTTAAATTACTTATCCGCAAACTTAACATATCAAAGTAAATTATATAGATATTTTTTGAAGTTTTATGAAATTGTATATACATTTTTACAGTAGTATATGCATTTTTTTCCTACTCCAATACTAATTACTTTTAATTATTTAAAAAATCATAATATTTTTTACTCTATAACACATTATAATATTTTTAAATATTGTATTAATTTGTTAATTATTTAAAAAAAGTATTACACTGTAACTGTACGAAGAAAAGATTGAATTTTTTTACGTAAATAATTTTTTTTTAAATTTTTTTTTAATTTTTTTTTACCAAAATAACATCTGTGCAACTTTATTTACCCAACTAGAATCAATCATTGTTCATGCTCAGAATTCGGTTCCCCAAGAACCGAATTCTGAGCTCCAATTTTTTTTTTTGTGATCACAATTCGGTTCCCGGGGAACTAAATTCTAAATTATTTTTAAATTATTACTTTTTTTTGCGTTTGTGGCCCAGTCTGTGCAAGTCTCGGAAGTGGAACGGGCCGTTCCAGAAGCAGAACGGCCCGTTCTGCTTAAACACATAGAGTGTTTTTTTTTAAATTGGAATGGCCCGTTCTAATTTAAAAAAAACACTCTATGTGTTTAAGGAGAACGGGCCGTTCTGCTTCCGGAACGGCCCGTTCCACTTTCAGCATTTGCCCAAAATGGGCCACAAACCCCGGAAAAAAAAACTTAAAATAACTCTGAATTCGGTTCTCCGGGAACCGAATTCTGAGTTGTAAAATATAT